CACCAGACGAACCTGGGCAAAGGTCCCCCGGGTCACAGCCGACAGATGATGTTCTCAAGTCAGCTGCGGATCCAGGAGGACTCCCAAATTGCGAACCCTCTCTGAGGGGCGTATAATTTCACCCCCCAGGCTGAGAGATGGAATAGCTGGACCATCTTTGGGAGGGAGCATCAATAGCCACTCGGTCTTGTCGGGATTGAGAGCAAGCTTGTTCATTCCTATCCAGACCCTAACAGCCTCCAAGCACTGGCACATCACTTCAACCGCTTCACTGAGTTGGCACGGGGCGGACAGATACAGCTGTGTATCGTCCGCATATTGGTGGTATTTTATCCCATGCCGACGAATGATCTCACCCAACGGCTTCATGTAGATATTAAATAGGAGGGGGGACAGAACCGAACCCTGCGGCACCCCATAATTGAAGGGCCTAGGGGTCGATCTCTGCCCTCCAACTGACACCGACTGTGACCTGTCCGAGAGGTAGGAAGCGAACCACCGAAGAGCGGTGCCTCCCACCCCCACCTCCCTACCAGTTTGCAAATGTGAGCTTTTGATTCTGTTGCAACTGTAAAACAGTTGTAAAAACTATAAAACCTTCCAGTTGAATGCTTTTAAAAAAATGAAATCAGCTATTATTTATAATCACTGATTCTTTTGTTTTATTTTTTCTTTCATTTTAAAATGTATGTTAAGTGAGAATGGCAATCGAAATACATCAGCAATTAAGTTTCTTTTTATCCAGGAAAGCAATTGATTTGAAGGTAATGCTGCATCAAATAGGAAGCAAAAGCAGGGAAAGATGAAAAGAAAGCAGTAATTAAAAACACAATTATTATGAAAAGCTTCAGTAATGCCCTGCCAATGCAGATTGGGGCAGGATTACAATTGTATATTAAAACATAATTATAACAGGATGGAAGGGCACAAAGAAAATGTGATTGCAATGGGCTGCAATAACTTCATTTTGCCACTGTTGCAAAATTTCATCTGCATTGTCCACAATAATGAGTCCGTTGCTTAAAAAAGTCCTACACTGCTCAAGTAGAACACCTTTAGTTCTTCAGCTGCTCTCCTAAAAGAATAATATCAAGCACAGGTTTTTGCATAACGAAACTGGTGCATTGCATTAAGCTTTTCTGCAGCTTCCCTATCCTTCCTAACAATTGCTTCCCAACTTTTTTACCTAATAGCCCAAGGGCCTCCCTCGCCAATTTTCTGGTTTTGATAGATTTATGGACTGAAAGGGTTTTAAAATTAGAATGATGTTTTTTAGCAACATGCCTGTCATAGTCTTAGCGACTTACATTTATTTCTACAGCATTTATGCCCCTTTTCTTCTTTCTCATTTGGATAAGACTTCTACTTTTTGACAGGAATTCCCCTGTTCTGTTTTTTCCTCCATACCATGCCTTATCCTTACTGAAATCCTTGAAGTGTTTCCAAATAATGTTTGCTGAGAAGCCCTGGTTTGAATCCAGAAGGTGGGAACCTACTAAAACAGCGGTCCCCAACCTGTGGGCTTCAGCTCACTAGTGGGCCATAAGGGGTTTGCAAAGGACCACGGAAAGGGCTGGTGAGCGTGGAGTACATACGTGCACACTCCATTTGCTGAATGGCACATGTGCATACACATTGCTTGAGCAAATGGAGCTGTGAGCAGGAATACCAGGGGTGGGTTCCATCTTCTGTTACTGCCGGTTCACTCAGAGATGTGCTTCACACATGCATGTGCTTGATGTGTGCTATGTGCACATGCACAATAGTAAAATGCTTCTGTGCATGCGCAGAAGCAAAAAACAAGATGGCACCACCAATAGAACTGGTTTGGGGATGTGGCTGGCTGAGTTACTACCTACTCACCTGGTCTGAACTGGTAGGAACCCACCTCTGCCGTGTATGCTTGCCGGCAGCTTGCATGGCAGTATCCTCTCTCCCCTCCCCTCCACTGGTTTGCCATGTGAGAAACACTGGGGAACTCTGTACTAAAGACAATAACCTGCATGGGCCTGCTGAATTTTGAATACCAAGAAAACAGTCTGAAGGGCATGAGGCTTATAAGACTGTGATAAAACATGGAGGGAAACATGGTTCCTTAACCAGGGACATGCAGTCACTAGAGGCAAGGGAGGCGGAGCCTCACCAGTCTCCTCAGGAAAAAGAAAGAAATTTAAATATATATTTTTTTAATAATTAAAGCCAAGATAGTTGCTACCAGATTCCAGCTCACAGTGGCTTGNGAAAATACATTAATTACCATCAGACTATACCTCTTAGGTTGACCTGAGCAAGTCAAATACATATAAAGGGCCAACTATGGAAACTTGCAGTTCTCTTGTGACTGTTGTGATGTAAAGAAGCTCATGCCCCTCTTTGCCTGCCTTTTTTTTTCTTTACTCAAAATGAATCCTCCTGAAATTTCATGCCTCAAAGAGACCAATGTATAAGAATTCATGTTCCAAAGCACTGTTCAGATCACAGAATTTAAATTGCATATTAATTTGCAGGTGAGGAAAACGGCCTTCATTTCCATGCTTTTTATGAAATGATTTTTCAAGCCAAATGACTTGATATATATTTGTATCTATTTCACAATTAAACCTGTATTTATAAACAGGGTGCTTGTCTGATAATGTACGGATTAAACAGATTTAGATACATTAGAACTTAGTAAGTTTGCAAACAAGCCAGCTGAAACTAATTCCAAGGCATCGGTCAACTGCCTGTTGGGAACTGGGTTGTGCAAGCTTCATCAGTGCATGGGTGGTATTATGTAGAATGCAAAACCATTTCCCTCCTGCTGATCTGTGGAAGTTTTTTTCCTGCGGTGTCCAAAGAGGGTTTGGGGGGGGGGGGTTTGTTTTAAAAGATAGCTAGTGTTGCGCTGAGAGTGGGATCAGAAGATCACATTCCAGCAATAGCAGAATTGGACATTTCCATTTGAAGTTTAGGATAACTCCATTATTAAAATTAATAGGGACTAGGGAAATAAAACAGGAAGAAAACACTTTAAAAGATTTGAAAAGGGAATGGGAGAAGCAGCAAGATAGCTGGGGAAAAGAGACAGAGGTCAGAAAAAAAAGCTTTAAAACTAAACAGTGGGCAAAGGTAGAGAGGGGAGAGAAAGCTAGAATGTTTAGTCAAAATATAGATTTAAAGGCAGATTAAATAAAAGGCTTTAAAAAACCTAAAAGAAGAATTTGGGAGGAACCCCCCGCCCCCTTCCCCCCCAAAAAACAATGAGTAAAAATTTGGATAGGGGCAAGAGATGTTGGATAAAGGAAAAAGAAAGGGAAAGTAAAGTAAAAAATATTTTATGAAAGTATTTTAATAATGTATATTTTAATTAAAAAGTATTTTTAATAATAATAGAATTATATAAGTAAATGATTTGTAGTGAAATATTAGAATTAAGCAAAAGGTGATTAAATAAATGAATGAATATACTTTCATATAAACATGTGTATTATTAGTAGAATTATATGGACTAGAGGATTGGAAAGAACATGAATAGATGATAGTTTGAATTGAAAATTAAAGTTTGAATGATGATATTAGAAAAAAAATGAAATACATATATTTTAAATGCTTTAAATGATTGTGTTCAATATTGTGAACATTGGAGGTGGGTATGGACAAATGAGGCAAAACAGCTTTAATTCAAACACTTTGTTAATATCACTAGCTAACTGCAACTGCTTTAACTATGAATGACCAGAACAGAGGTTTCCCCATCTGACAGCTCCTTAAATACCCCACTATCAGATGGCTTAGCCAATCAGCATCCAGGGCAGCTCCCTCCTCTGGCACAGAGCTGAATACATAACAGATTGTTATTGGTTTACCAGGTTTATATTGAGATATTGAAAGGATGGATCTGTTTATATTAAACAGACATGAAGAGTAAAATAATGGAAATATGATTACCAAACAGATGGAAGATGGGAAACAGAAATGTCATTACCATGTCTTTGAAAATAATAGTGAGAGGAAGGGAAAAAATTAAAATAGGGATAGAAATAAAAGGGGAAATATAGTATATGTATATCAATATATTAAGATATATGAAAGAGTAAGAGGAAGGTTTAGAACTGAAGGGTGATAGTAAAAGATATGGGCAAATAATATGAAATAATGAAAATGAAATGTGGTAACTATGACTATGTTTGTATTGAAATGTATGATACTCGGGTATCACACCACTCAACCAGTGATCTGTATAAACAATATAAAATAAAAAACGATATAAAAAACTCCCTAGAAATGAGGAGAACTTTTCTGAGAATGAGAGCAATCAACCCTTCAGAAATTGTGGGAGCTTCATCACTGGAGGCTTTCAAGAAGAGTTGGGACTGCCGTCTGTCAGAAATGGTGTAGGGTCTCCTGCTTGGGCAAGGGGTTGGACTAGATGACTTACAAGGTCCCTTCCACCTCTGTTAATCTGTTTTATTTGTCTGTTTAAACTAATTGGATAGGACTTCAGCAGGAATAGTTGTGTTCCCTGAAAACATGATTGACAAAGAGCAGGAGACAGAAATTTCTAATTAATGTTGCAAGGGTAAATTGCAAGGATAAGTGTTATTTCTGAATAAACATTGTAGAAGGAAATGGGGGCAGACATGTGGATGAAATAGGACTGTTTTAACTGCCTTGGAGAATGTCTGTTTAATTCAATTCCTAGCTGATTGCAGAAAACCTCAGCAGAATTAAGGAGCATTAGGGAAGCAGCCGCTTTTGATATCTTCACATAGCAACATAATTGTCCATTCCTTTAGCTCAATGGTCCCCAACCTTTCCAGCTCCATGGATGGGCAGCAGCGGTGGTGGCAGTGGGAGCACACATCTGCCACTTGCACAAATGAAACTTTGCCCGCTACTTGGAAGGACCAATTCCCAACAAGCCACAGACTGGTACCAGTCCATGGGAGACTCCTGCTTTAGATGAACCAAAGTTTCTGTTTACTGAGTTGGTATCTTCTCCCAATTACCTGTGAGTATCTCCTCCCTTCAAACAGGAATGGACAAAACAACACATTAGCCTTACCATCCTCTGTCTCCACATAAAGTCTCAGCCCCAAATTGTATTTACGGTTCAACAACCAGTGGTTACTAGCAGCTGTGACATCGAAGGTCAGCCATCCATCCATGCCAGCCAGACATTCCTGAAGAACTAAGAACATAAGCTCAGATTCCCTGGAGGAGCAGAAAATATATCAGAGCCTTTCAGATTAAAATGAAAACAGTGAACATGCCAGATGTTATCATAAACTATCAGAGAGCTTTAACTCTTGAGTGGTTTAAAAAAGGAATTACTAAGTAAATTCCTCTCCCACCCATCCCTGGCTCTTGAGCAGAGCCTTCAAGACTAAGACATCTGCTCTTGGCTTTCATCCCACCCGATGGCAGGCCAGTGGCAAGAACCACTCTCCTCATTTTCCCACATTCTTAAATTCTGAGAAAGGAAAGCAGGCCAAGAAGGCTTGCTTGACACGGGAAGACTCTGGGCAGGATTGGTACAGCTACAGAAGGGGTACATAGCACATCAATCTTCAGGGCCCAAATAAACCAGCAGGTGATCCGGGCGATGGCTCTTCGGACACACACAGCCGAAGGCCTTGTGCTTGCCCCTGGTTGAACAGGAAAAGTTGGAAACACCTAGACTGGTCCTCAATTCACCCTCACTCCTTTAACGCTCATTCAAAGTTACAGTGTCACCAGAAAAAAGGTGAGTTATGACGAGTTCTCAAGTTTACAACTGTTACAGCATCCACATAGTCACATGTTCTAAATTCGAGTGCCTGGCAATTGGCATGTATTTATGATGGTTGTGGCATTGCAGGGTTAGGTGATCACCATTTGCAACCATTCCAGCCAGTTTTTGACCAGCAATGGGAGAAGTTAGAATCACTTAACAACTGTGGCAAAAAGTTTGTTAAATTGGGAACAACTCACTTAATAATCACCTTGCTTAGCAATGGAAATTCTAGTCCCAAACATGGTCTTAAATGCATGTCTAAAGATAAGAGGATTCCTCCATGCTTCAATTGCAAATCTTTGACCTCTGCTGCTTTTATTTTTACATTGTCTGATATTTATTAACAGATGTACAAACATCAGTCTTGTCTGCAGTTTCAAATGATTGTCCCTTTGGAGTCAAGGGATGTTTTGCTACAGCCCCTTTAGTGAGAGAGGAGAAGCAAAATTAACAAAGCAGAACATCTCCTTGTCATTCGCTGGCAAGAAGAAGAATTCTTCTTGGTAGCTTTTTCGTTCCCATTCAATTGAAATGTTTAATCAGAGAAACAGGGGCTGGAGCCACCAACCAGTCAGCTAAGGCCTGAAATCAAAAGTTTGGGTCTCTTTGTACCTGCTTGGGTGCTCCTGGATGACCTCGTAAATGCTGATGTGAAGGGTCTGATTAACATGGCAGGTGTAACTTTTCATCTTGTAAATTCGGAATTCGGCCGCCATGACAGTCTCCCCCGCTGGGATCTGAGTTAAGTCGAACCTGAATTCTTTCCAGTAAGGCTTCTTCTGGAAAATACCTCTGTCCAGCTCAACTGAACAGAGTTGCATACATCAAAAAAGCAAAGGCATTTATTTGGGCCTCCGTTACTTACATTCTCTGCTTCAAATAAGGTCTCAAAGTACAGACTTACAAATTACTTTAGAAGTAAAATCCAAATTCAATTAATAATAATGGTTAATTAAAAGCAATGCAGCAGTCTAAAATACATTTGGATGGCTAAGAGAAACTACAGTGAATCGGACAAATGATGTTTAATTAACAGGTGTCACAAACAAACTAAAATAATGATATCTACCTTGATAACTGTACTTGTAAAAATGATCTTGCAAGAGCAGTTGATTGCAAATGAGTTCCATGTGATGTGGTTGCATAAAAGGCAAATACAATTATAATCTACTGAATTAAAAATTTCCAAAATTAAGATGCTAGTACATATTACAATTTGGGTGGAAAAAATGGTGAAGTCACCGGACTAGAAACCAGGGCACTGTGTATCCTAATCCCGCAACAGACATGAAAGCCGGTGCTTCTCTCTCAACCCACAATGTCAGGCTGTATGGAGAATTACATTCTTCTTGAAACCAATGGCTGATCTTTGTTAGATCAGGTAATGGAACACACAGGCTAACAGTAACAACAGCTATTTATTAACTCAGTAGCAACTATGTACAATCCAGCAAAGGTTGAGTCTGACAGCAGTTCTTTTATAGGGAGCTGTCAGACCCTTTGACCAATGAGATTAAATGAGACCTTGGTGGAAACCACTATAGTTGAAGCTAGTATGTAACACCCCTCCCCTCTTAGATGGAACAATCTTACTGGTCACGTAGTCACGCAGGTAGGTGGGCTTTGGGGTAGCTCTGCCTGACTTGCACAGCTCAGTCGGAGGGTGTTCTTTGAGCAGGTCGGACGGATCTGTTTGCTCCCCAGCTTCGCTTGGTGGAAGCTCCTGGAACCTTTCACAGGCCGCAGCTGGAGCTTCTAGAGCCGGTTTGCTCGGAACTCGCTGCAGGCCTGCAACATAACCAGATAGGTTTCCTGGTACCCTCGGGTTTGAGCTGCCTGTGAGTGTTTGCTCCATTTGGGTAGGGCTTTGGCTAACTCATGCAGGAGTTATCTCTGGTTGTCTAAGAGTAGAGTTGGAGAGGCGGCCATGGAGTTGGTCAACGTGCCTTCTCCAATTCCGACCGTCCTTGAGCTCTACAAGATAAGAGCGAGGCCCAGTGATGCCTATCACTGTGGCAGGAATCCACAGAGTTCCCCCGGCGTAGTTGTGGATGTGTACTGAGTCCCCTATGCTAAAATTCTGAATTTTGCTTGTGGAGTCAGTTTCCTCGGCTTCTTGGCTGCCAGGTTGTCATGGAGTGCTCACTTCTGCACACCTTGTTGATGTGCCCTTTTTGCTTGCAGCGCTGGCTGGTAGCGTTGCGGAAATGGCAAAACAATCTGGCATGGTCTCCTCCACAGCTAGCACAAGTTGGTGGGGCGTGCATGGCCATTTTGTGTTCTGAGGGTGTTTTGAGATTGCCGCTAAAAAATGGCTGCTCGAAGCCACGCTGAGCTCCGGGCTGGATTTACTTGCTGGACTGTTCTTACTTGTTGTACTTTAAAAAGGAGCTGTTGTTGCCTTTAGCCTTGTGTGCCTTTCCATTACCCGACCACTATAGTTGAAGCTAGTATGTAACAGATCTGAAACAAATTGGACCTGCATTTGCAGGAAAATGCTTGAAAGGAGAAAAAGCCTTACAGTTTGAATAGGAAACACAACCATAAGGCAAAACCCATTTTAGGGAGGGCTGTTGCTGTATAGTGATAGAAAGAACGCTGGTCCTTACCTGAACGTTTATTTTCTGTAGCAGAGGTGGGAGGGGCTACAGCAGGGTTTGTCACAGCCTGTTTGGTCCAGAGACTGAGGGATTTTTAAAAAATAACCTCCTTTCCCTCTCAGCTCCCAGTTTCACGAGGTCAAATGGAAAAGCTGATAGCATCATGTAAGGAAATAACATCCCAAGAACGAGAACAACCATAACAATAACCACAACAACAACAACCTGACGTCCCCGACCCCATTGAATCATAAAGGGTGGGAAAGTAGCCCTTCCCACCTCTACTACAGAAAATAAATGTTCAGGTAAGGACCAACATTCTTTTTCCTGTGGTTTTGGTGGGAGGGGCTACAGCAGGGACATACCCAAGCTAAGTCCCAGGGCAGGCCGAAGACACTGGGGGAGGGGGGTCGCCATCTGTTGGAGCACCCTACGGCTGAAAGACGCATCCGCCGAAGCAAAAAGGTCAAGGCGGTAATGACGAATGAAGGGGGTAGGAGAGGTCCAGGTGGCTGCCCTACAAATATCCTCCATCGGAGCCCTGGTAACCCAGGCAGCGGTAGTAGCCATGCTCCTGGTGGAGTGGACGGTGATGCCCTGTGGAGGTACCCAGTGTACGGCTTGATAAGCCTCCATGATGGCCTGTCTCACCCACCTGCCAATGGTGGAGGAGGACACCCTAGCCCCAAGTGACCTAGCTTGGAAGGACAGGAACAGGGCCTCTGACCGCCTGGTGGAGGATGTACATGAGGTAGATGGGCAGGGCACGGCGTACATCCAGGCGGTGCCAGAGGACCTCCCTCTGGTGAGAGGGAGAGGGACAGAAATTGGGCAGGATGACCTCCTGTGACCTATGGAATAGGGAATTGACTTTCGGGAGAAAGGTCGGGTTTAATCTCAGAACAACCTTGTCCTGGTGAAATTGACACAAATCCTCCTTGGACGACAGAGCGCCCAGCTTGGAAATGCGTCTGGCTGAAATGACAGCCACTAGAAAGATGACCTTCAGAGTCAGGAATCTGAGGTGCACCATTCGCAAAGTTTGAAGTGAGCACCCGTAAGGGCTCTAAAAACCAGGGGAAGGTCCCATCTGGGGAACCTGCGTACCGGTGGAGGACACAGGTTTGTCGCTCCCTTAAGGAAGCATTTTACCAATGGCGACTGCGCCAAGGACCCCGCTCCCTCCCCTCCCAGGACCAAGGAAAGGGCAACCATCTGTCTCCTTAAGGTATTATGAGAGAGACCGAGGTCTAGACCGTGTTGCAGGAATTCAAGAACCTGGGCAATAGAGGCAGAAGCCGGTGAAATCTGAAACCTCCCACACCAGGACATGAACGCTGACCACATCGAATTGTAAATTTGGGTGGTGGAAGGACGCCTGACTGCCTCGATAGTAGAGATAACCTTAGCCAAGACACTGGCGCCCCTCAGCAGGCAAGTGCCAGACTGTCAGCTGGAGCCATTGGGGCTCTGGGTGGAGCAAGACCCCTGGCACAAGGCAACTTCCTCCTGGGGGATTCTCCAGGGGAGAGATATGGATAGTTGGACCAAGTTCACGAACCAAAGGCACCTCGGCCAGAATGGGGCCACCAGAATGACATGGGCCCCCTTCAGCATTAATTTCCTCAGGGTTCCCTGGATGAGAGGGAAGGGGGGAAAGGCATAAAGAAGACCAGGAGGCCACGGGCTCCGGAGAGCGTCTGTGCCCTCTGCATTGCGTGCGGGAAAGTGGGAATAGAATCGGGGAGCTGAGCATTGCTTGGACTGGCAAACAAGTCCTGAAGTGGAGGCAGATCCTGTGGAATATCTCTGGGTCCAGCTGCCACTCGATGTGATCCACTGTCATCCGGCTCAACCAGTCGACTTGGTGGTTGGCTACACACGAGATATGTTCCGAGAGGATGGATTTCAAGTTCCTCTCTACCCATAGGCCGAGCCTGCGAGCCTCTAGACACAGACTCCTGGAATGGGTCCCCCCCTTGGCGATTTATGTGGGCCTTGGCCGCTATATTGTCTGTCAGGAGGAGGACAGGAAAACCCCAGGGACTGTAACGATCAGATGGTGACCTGCAGATCCAGATTTGCCTGCACTTGGGACTGGGGAAGAACGAGCACGTCATCCAGGTAACAATGGAGTCTCACTGACCGGGAACATAAGTGAGCTGCCATTGCCACCAGGACTTTCGTGAACGTGCGGGGGGCAAAGGCCAGAATGGAAGAGCCCTGTATTGAAAGTTACGACCCCCGTATGAGAAGCGGAGGAATTTGTGGTGAGTCGGTCGAATCGGAATGTGTAAGTATGCCTCTGTTAGGTCCATTGATGCCATGAAGTCCCCCCGCCTGATTCCTAATAGTATGGACCTGAGGGAGGACATCTTGAAACGCCGGTAGACCAGGAAGGAATTCAGATGTTTCAAGTCCAGGATGACCCTCCATTCCCCGGAGCTCTTGGGAACAATGAAGAGGTTCAAATAAACGCCTTGTCCCCATTCCTCTTGAGGGACAGCTCAACTGCCTGAATGTCCAGCAGGTGTTGGATGGCTAGAAGCATTAGGTGTTGCCTTTCTGGGTCCCTGGAGGGGGGGAAAGCCCTGAAGAGTGTCGGGGGAGGGGCTAGGAACTCCAGCCAGAGACCTTCTCTGATTGTCAACCTGACCCAAGCATCCGAAGTTATCTGGTCCCACTGGTCTGTGAAGGATGCCAGGCGGCCGCCTATGGAGAGACTCAGGTTCGAGTCATTTCCCCCTGCAGAAGGAGCAGCTGCCCCCTCCGCAAAAGGGTCATTTGGACCGACCTTGGTACCTGTTTCTATCTTGGTAGAACGGCCATTGATTCTGCCTGTCATACCTATAGGGAGTATACCATTGTGGGCAGTAGTCCTGGTCGGGACCCCTGAAGGACAAAGACCTATGGTATGAAGCCGGACGATTATCTGGCTTCTTTGTGTTGGAAGGTAGGACCTTCTTCTTATCCTTGTTCTCCACAAGGATGGGATCAAGGGAAGCCCCAAAAAGGTTAGGGCTGGAGAAGGGGGCCGCCACTAGGTTCCATTTGGACTTATTGTCCATTTGCCAATTCCAGAGCCACAGGAGTCTCCTCACCGTCACAGAGGTGGATAACTCTCTGGATGCAAATTTAATGGAATCTAGGTGGTGTCCGCTGAAAATTGGGTAGCTGAAAAGATTTTTGTGAAGTCTTGGGGAACATGCTCATCTTGGATCGGGATGCGGTTGAAGTAGGACGCTGCCGCAGCCGCCTTAATGGCCCAGGAAGAAGCGTTGAAGTTCTTACAAAGGGTAAGTTCCGCACGCTTGTACTCTGGCTTCAGCTTGTCGGCCACGTCCCCTGAGACTACAGTGGAGGCATTGGCCAAAAGAGCAATGGGTGCATCTACCGTGGGAAGTTGCAAAGCCTGAGAAAAGGCCTGCTCCATGTTGTAATAACATTTATCATGGATTAGGCAAGGACGAAGGTCTTGCCCACTGGTTCTGCCGATCATTCACCGATCTGTTCTGCTCCGAGAAAACGCA